GCTCGCTTACATAATTTGTTTACATCACGTGTCATCTAACGCCACGCTTCTGTGTCCAGTTAGTTGAACATTTTTAGCTTTTTTAAAGAATCCTAAACGCTTCTACTCTAAAAAATCAACGACAAATGCCGTTTCAAGATAACAAAGCAGGTAATAATGATTAAAATATATTATGTATCCATTATCATCTAAAGATATAGTTTAATATTTATAATCTCTTCATTGTTTAGCTCCACCAATTATTCGTTTTCTATCGGCGTGTACTGAGATAAAATTCATCAAATGCATTACTAATATAATTCCTTACATATAGAAAAAATATTTTTCTAAATAAAAATTAGAGGATTTTCCTTGAAATGATACTACAGTCTATAGTATACATTAGTATGATACTAGAGTCTAGACACTAGTAGAGTCTAGACACTAGTAACTATATTACCAATCGCTTCACCCATTCAAAATTTGTACAATACTCCACTTACGACACCTCCGAGCAGGCGTAGAGTTACGCACAGCTTCTTGTACGTAGCTTTCTGCGCAGATGTTTTGATAATTACACTGTTAGAGTTACGTCTTCATAGCAGCACTTACGAAACACGTAAGACGCTACGTGTACTTAGCGATGTTTTTGTCGGAGAGGGGGGGGGGTGCTAGAGATTCATTGGGGAGCCAAAGGGGGCGCCAGCCTGAAAAAGTTTGGGAACCGCTGGCATAGTAGGTATTATTGATTAATATATATTATATATCTAATAATATCTGTAGATTAGAGATTAATATTTTTGATCTATTCATTGTTCAGCTCCACCAATTATTCGTTTTCTATCGGCATGTACTGAGAAAAAATTCATTCAATACATTACCAATATAATTCCTTACATTTACAAAAAATATTTTTCTAAATAAAAATTAGAGGATTTACCTTAATATGAAACTAAAGTCTGTACATTAGTATGATACTAGAGTCTAGACACTAGTAGAGTCTAGACACTAGTAACTAAATGGTTACCAATCGCTTCACCCATTCAAAATTTGTACAATACTCCACTTACGACACCTCCGAGCAGGCGTAGAGTTACGCACAGCTTCTTATACGTAGCTTCCTGCGCAAATGTTTTGATATTTACACCGTTAGAGTTACGTCTTCATAGCAGCACTTAAGAACTACTTAAAACGCTACGTGTACATAGCGATGTTTTGATAATCGATCAGGCAGCTGTACAGTAGTGTAGAAGCAATGTCTTATTCACGGCGAATTTCGGCACGTATCGCCATAGAACTCACAAATGAAGGTGAAATTCCAAAAATCACCGTTACGTGTACCAAGTTTCAGCGAGGTAAGTTCATTACTTTGGGAGATATTCCTTGTTCACTGAATTTGGGGAGACTGGCTCGAAATTCATGTCTAAGTGATACAGTGAAATTGTTCAAGAGCGTGATAATAGAAACTGTGTTTACTATTCTCTTCCATACCTCGGCCATGCGTCCGAAGCTATGTCGAGAGAATTAAAAAATTTGTTAATGTAGTACTTTCCGAACAATAATCTTCATATCTTACTGGTGAATAATTTTAAAATAGGTTCGTTTTTGGGTACAAAGATATCGTCCCTTCTCACATGCGATCGTCCCTAGTTTATAAATTTAGTTGTGCGCGATGCGCATCTGCGTACGTTGGAATGACGTCACGAAACCTTTACTCTAGGGTCGCTGAGCATAGAGGTAGGAGTTAGAGGGCTGCCAGGGCCATGCTTTCAAAACTTGCAAAGTGAACGTAAGTACTTACGCTCTAATTTCTTATCTATGATAGGTGGATTTTGCTCGAAAAGCCGTCAATGATTGGCTGATGAACTTACGATCTCTTAACTCTTATTGAAAGTATAGGCCCTGGGCAGTTACTATCGCTCCCTCCTCATTCGGCTGTGTGCACTCACGCCGAACAGTGCAACATTCCAGTGTCCGACACTGACATTAAGATTTTAGCTTCTAGTTCTGTTGCATCCGATCGGCATATTTTGGAATCCTGTTATATTTTTATAGCGAGGCTTAGTTTAAATGCAGCCTTTAGTTCTTATCCTCTAGAAATTGTGAGTAGATAGGTATTTACTTTATTACCCTGACTTTTGCCTGTAAATTTAGGTGTTTAACTTCAATTTTTTTCTTTTGAATCCAAATTTTATTAATTTATGATTGTATTTCTATTCTAGATTTATCAAACTGGCGATGGAGCTGGACTCCGAAACGTTTTCAACAGAGATATGATAAATTTGTGTGGAGTTTTCTTCGCTTTTAAATTTCTAGTGAATCTGCGATGCAAGCAATCTAGTGATTTTAATTAAGAAAATTAATCATATTAGCAGAGAAATATGAGGTTTAGTCCATAAAAATGTCCGATGATATTTCAAGAAATAAGTGGTCAATAAATATTCGGACAATTCGAAAAAACTTTTAAGCAAATTGTCTACCTTAAGGAACAATTATTACGTTGAAATGCTTCATGCAAGATTTTGTTGTGTCTGACATATTAAATGAGCTTTGGTTTATTGATTCGTAACGATGAATTTCGATTGCTCTTCGTTTGAAGGCAGCAGTGCTTGCATATTTTTCAGGATTCCTACCATATTTCCAACGAGGTTTATGTCAGCTGATTAAGTAATCTTTCAACATAAAAACTGATTCATCAAGTTCTACGTGTGATTTATAATGCAAAAACCATTGGTCAACGACCTGCAATCATAGTCGTTTCTTGTATAAGAGAGAGGAAGCAAGATATGTCTCAAAACACTAAAATATGCAGAAGGCTCTGATGAGCTTATTTGAGTAACATTCCAGTGTCCGACACTGACATTAAGATTTTAGCTTCTAGTTCTGTTGCATCCGATCGGCGTATTTTGGAATCCTGTTATATTTTTATAGCAAGAACTAGTTTAAATGCAGCCATTAGTTCTTATCCACTAGAAATTGTGAGTAGATAGGTATTTACTTTATTACCCTGACTTTTGCCTGTAAATTTAGGTGTTTAACTTCATTTTTTTTTCTTTTGAATCCAAATTTGGTTAACTTATGAGTTATGATTGTATTTCTATTCTAGATTTATCAAACTGGCGATGGAGCTGGACTCCGAAACGTTTTCAACAGAACAATTATTACTTTGAAATGCTTCATGCAAGATTTTGTTGTATCTGACATATTGAATGAGCTTCGGTTTATTGATTCGTAACGATGAATATCGAATGCTCTTCGTTTGAAGACAGCAGTGCTTGCATATTTTTCAGGATTCCTACCATATTTCCAGCGAGGTTTATGTCAGCTGATTAAGTAAGCTTTCAACATAAAAAATAATTCATCAGGTTCTACGTCTGATTTTATAATGCAAAAACCATTGGTCAACGACCTGCAATCATAGTCGTTTCTTGTATAAGAGAGAGGAAGCAAGATTTGCCTCAAAACACTAAAATATGCAGAAGGCTCTGATGAGCTTATTTGAGCAACAATCAACATAAGCTTAATCGCGGAGTTTCACAGAAGTTTGAAAGTTCAGGAAACATTTTGGTTCACAGGGAACGGCAAAATCCCTTTAAAATTATAGCGAATTGTTGATGACGTTCCAAGTAAATTCTGTCTAGGAACTCACTGTTCTCGTACAAGAAAAATTTATCTATCAAAATATAATTGATTTACTGTGACAAATATTTGGAATTCACAGAAGTTAAAAGCATATTTACTAAATACTAAAATATAAGTACAGTAGCTTCATTATTGTACTAGTTTGCGGTTGTTAATACAAATTTCCTTCAGAGACGAGTACGTGACCATTCATCTTGAGAACATCATACCAGGAAATTCTGCAAGTGAATACAACCTGGATACCACTAATAATTTCGACGTGCCTTTCGACTACACATCCATCATGCTCTACAGCGGTACCGTAAGTTTAAGTAAAGTGTGTGTTTGTGTGTGCGAGTGTGTGTGAAACTGCAAATGAAATGGAATAGTATTATTTTATACTAAAAAATATGAGCTTAAATCGACGAAATCACAATTTTAACATCTTGTTCGCTTCCCTCATTTAACATTAAAAATGTTCAACGTCCCTGTCAAGTGAGACAGATGTGCTAACATGAACGTCTCCTATCGTTACGAAGTTGCAGTTAACTGTTGATATATCCAGTAATTTATGGTAACATTTTCCTTAGAATATTAAGAAATATAAAAACATTGACCTTCAGAAGAGTAAGGGGGTTAAATATTACCCAGGCAATTTTTCGCAAAATCTACATCTTATCCGTCATTGCTGATTTCGGCACGCAAATATTTTGATGACAGATTAGTAACTTATGAATGCTCATAATTGTTTCAAATACTGCTTTATGCACAAGGCGGTATGGCATGTTTAATGTCTTTTTAACCAGAACTTGCCTATACATGCTTCCTCGGAAACATTGTCCATCAATGTTTGAATTTCGGAAGAAAACAATAATCAAATGTATTTTAATAGTAAAATGTATTTTAAAACCAGACCCTGAAGAAGGTAGCATTTCTTACGAATCTAATTATATTTTAAGTAATGAGGTATTTTTTCGCAATAATCCCTGTAGATTGGAAATCCGAGAAAGCTCGTTCTTTCAAAGCTTCTTCAATTTAACATATTTTGACCCGAAATTATAATAATTTTTTGCTCTAAAGATCTTCTAAAATTGGAACAAACAGGTGGATCCTTGCTTGTAGAGAAATGGCTCACAAGTACAAAGACCTTAGATTTTCACAACCTTATAGGTTCACTGCAGATGTTTTTACAGAAAAAACACATAATTTGATATGATAACTCCCCACTTCTGTCTGATCGTGTTCAAAAATGTGAAAAAAGTCTTCAAAATTATATGCTGATTATGGATTCAAAATGCAAATATCCGATTCTAAAATCTAACGAGTTAATCAAATCCTTCTTTAATTTGTAGGCGGCATCCGCGCGGCTTTTAGCTTTCGTCATCTAATTCCAGGGAGTGAATGGGACGTTTGTGATGCTTGCACGGAATCCTCTCTTCCAAACCGTCATGGATTACGCACAGTATCTCCCCACTGCCGCGCCGTCCTTTATGAACACAAAGACTTTGAACAGGAACTACAAATGCGACAGTGAGTGCAGCGTCTGCGCTATCATTTTGAACAGGAACTACAAATGGGGCGGTGAGTGCAGAGTCTGCGCTATCATTTTGAACAGGAACTACAAATGGGGCGGTGAGTGCAGAGTCTGCGCTAAGATTTTGAACAAGAACAACAAATGGGGCGGTGAGTGCAGCGGCTGCGCTAAGATTTTCAACAAGAACAACAAATGGGGTGGTGAGTGCAGCGGCTGCGTTAGCACATAAAAAATAAAGCTATTTATCGCTGGTGATAAACCAACAACATATTGCTATGCTCTCGTGCACAGTCAATTTTGTTTACCTTTCCTGTACCAATTACTCAGTTCAAATAATCATTCGAGAGCATCGAAAATTTAATTCTTCACACAAATTTCATTTGCTCATGATTCGCTGCTAATATATGACAAATATTTTCATATCTGATGTCGATTACTTCATCAAATATTTTGAATTTCAAGCGAATTACAAATAATTTTTCATGGATAAAAGCGTTTTCCCTCTTCTATTAACTTAATCGTCTCAATCTGAGATATTTTCTCGATAAAATGATACTGCGCATAGTCATCGAACATTTGGCGATTATTCCCCCATTCTCATACTCGTTGAATTATTGCAGAGAAGAACCTGAAGAGCTGCGGCCTGGAGACAGACCCGTGTCAGAACCAGGGCTACATGGGCCCCGCCTGCAAGTGTCTCTGTCCCCCTGGCACCAGCGGCGACAACTGCGGCACTCTGGAGATGTCTTATGAAGGTCCGTTGTCATTATAATTAATCGTTATTATCGCCATTGATGATAAATGTCAAGAGTATATTAATTATAAATTAGTAGGTCAGGTTACGGGTATAATCAATGTTTTCCTATAATTACTGGTTATACCGTTTAATATATTCGATTTTTTCATACGTTCTTCAATAAATATTGGTTTGACGGTATTCCCACTGTATGGTTGTTTTTGAACAATTTTAGTAGTGTTATGCGGCCATTTGTTTTTCATCCGCGTGTGTTTTTGCGCTTAATTGACGTTTGATTATTTACATTTTGATTACAAATAGTATAAGAGGTGCGTGCAAAAGGAAATCTTTGTTTTATGCAAGAAATATAGAAATCTTATCTCCTACTAATTCAATATTTCGTTTTCAGATGCCATGCTGAAATTACTTAGGCCGTTGTCAAGAAAAATCACAACGAATAATACTGTGGTGACGACTCCTGGCTACCCTAACGCATCAAACCCAGGTATTCAAGTTGAAGTTAATTTTTTATATAATATTAACGTGGTTTTTATAAGTTATTTTAAAGCTGCTAAAAGTTCCTAATAATTATTTTTAACGCAGCCGTTAAATAAGCCAGAGCAACCGACACTTCTATGTTTGTGGCCATCAACCTAACCCCGTTAACCGACTCAGCTAGCAGACACCCGGAGAGATACATTTACTTTCTCATCATTCGCATTTTTTTAAAGTTCATTAAAAGCCAATATTATACGAAATCAGATTTAGATAAGAAGCTGTTAAGATGTGAACTGCATAGTGCAGTGATCAGACCTTCAGCGCCTATGCCAGGAGTTCGGAGTCTTTTCTTCATCGTCTGTGGACTGCAATCATAAGGGGCAAGATTCTTGGCATAGTGGCAAGATCTCATGAGCTTCGGTTGGTGGACATACCGCCTTAACAAGCACACCATGCAGCTTTAGCTTTTAACGAGACGAAAGTCCGTTTAACTATGGAATAATGTGAGTGAGTGATAGCAGTAATTGAAAAATATTGATTGGAAAAAAGGAGAGGAAAATTCCACGTTCAGCCATTGACGAAAGTAGGATAAGAAATGTAATAAATTATTAATATGAAATCTCTTGAAAATTTTCGAGAGATATAACGCATCAAGTATACGTGATACGTTAGTGATAACGTTTATTTGTACAGTTCTATGACTGCGGGTAATGAAATGTTTACGATTAATTTGTACTTTTTGTTGACCAATAAAGATGCTCCGCCATGGTCTATAGCGTATTTCAAATATATAAATTGATTATATGTTCTGGAAAAATAATGTAGGTTATCTGTGCTGATTGTCCTAGGTTGAAAATTATTGGGAAAATTCCTTGGGTCCAGTTATATTTGGTGATCGGTTTATAGGAGTGAGTAAGGCCAAATTATGCAAGTTTGGCTAAATTGGTATGAAAAATTAGTTTGTTTAAAAATATGATTTGTGCGAGCAGAAAAATAATTCGTAATCAGTATTTCGAAGTGAAATCATGGCCTATGAATTTCTGGCATCCATAGAAATGCTTGGGCATTAGTGATACGTGCAATGTTTGAAATAAGCAACAGGAGGGAGGTAGAAAAAATTTCAAGTTATCGAAGAAATTTGAATATTCTATCGAACATTTTTCTTTTCTTGTTGTTGGAACGTTATATTTTTAGGCGTTTCTTCGTAGTCGCCAAAAGCTCGTTTGACGATAGTGCTCGAAAAAATAAATCTTCTTATAACTTACTGATGGTTGCTTAATGGTGTTATAGGTTGGTAATGGTGATGTTAAATTTCTCGAGTAACTTCTAAACATAGAGTACAAACTGTCGCCGGATGCAAGGTCGTATAGCGTGCTGCCAATACAAGAGATGGAGTAATCGTATTCTCGTTTGGAAAGAAAAATAAATCTTATTGTAACCACCGGAAAGAAAAATCTGAAAATATTTGGAATTATTTAAATATAATAGAACGGAATTTCGTAAATTTTTAATCATGCATGATATTTTTGTTGACTCATTCCGCGCAGAAGGCTTATTTCAACTCAACGCGGCATCATTCGCGTAGGGAAGTAAAGTTGCCAATCGATCTTCATGATGCCATGAAGAGCGACTCATATCTTGAATTTTTTTCAGAAAGGAATAGCGGACGGATAGTTAAGAACGTGTCCGAAATAATTTATTTTACTAATTTACACTTAAAGATATACTGGTATGCCGCGCTATATTTCGTTCTGCAGCATTATTTCCCGCCAAGAAAGATGCGAATTCTCAATAATTTTTTCTGGACGGCTCGTCTCGAAATCTTCCAAGATTACCAGTGAACGTTGGTAATTTCCTCGATTATATCGCTTATCGGAATAAAGCTTCAAGGATCGCCTCGCCCCTCGATTAAAGCATGTGATATGTTAGACCATTGGAGTTTAGGTTCTACAGCGCTCTGCCTTCTCTCAGAACCATCCGACTAGATCTACTGCTTGCATGCTGTGTCTCATAACTCTCAGTCACTCACTCTCAGTGGCGACGAGCTCATGCGAAAGTACGAGGCCATATGTGAAGCTATTTCAATTTCATTGCCCTTACCGAGTCAACCTATAATGAATAGAGTCTTAAGAGTCCCAGGTCTGGATTTCGTTGTTAACGATGTAGAGGGCTAGGTTAATTATTAAGGATTAATAATGTGTATTATCTTGATGTATGGTTTATAGGAAAAAGATATATTTTAATTAGGATGTAAAAGTTGTAAGATTGTTTGAGATAGAATCGTAGCTTTGCTGACTGGTGTCGTACGAACGGATTCATTCGGATTTTAGAGAGCGGACAGTAAGGATCCCTCTATTCGGCCTGTGTATATGTCGTGTTCTAGATGTCTTTGTAACCTTGCCCAATTTTATATCTGTGTTGTGGTGTTGGATTTTAAGTATATCTTGACCAGAAGAGACTTTTATTCACGACAACAGTTCATGCGAACCTGGTGGTCCACAACATAATGGTGCCGTGACTCTTGAACTGTTTTTTTTTATGGTGCAAGATTTTTTTTAATTAGTAACCTGAATGTAGATACAAGTGAGATTTTAACAGGTTCACAAAGCTGAATACTTTCTGTGAATAGTCTGTTTTCTGTTTGGAGGCTTGCCGGTACTGCTCTGCTGTCAGTGTATTCTTCTATAAGCAACATTTCGGTGTCCAGACTTGTGAAAGTTGCACAATAGATGTTTTGATAATTACACTGTTAGAGTTACGTCTTCATAGCAGCACTTACGAAACACGTAAGACGCTACGTGTACTTAGCGATGTTTTGATAATCCGGCAGCTGTACATTAGTTTAGAAGCAATGTCTTGTTCACTGCGAATTTCAGCGCGTATCGTCATAGAACTCACAAACGAAGGTGAAATTCCAAAAATCACCGTTAAGTCTCAATGAATACGTATACCAAGTTTCACCGAGGTACGTTCATTACTTTGTGAGATATTCCTTGTTCACTGAATTTGGGGAGACCGGCCGCGAAATTCATGTCGAAGTGATTCAGTGAAATTGTTCCAGAGCCTGATAATAGAAACGGTGTTTACTGTTCTCTTCCATACCTCGGCCATGCGTCCGAAGCTATGTCTAGAGAATTAAAAGATTTGTTAATTTAATACTTTCCGAACATTAATCTTCATATCTTACTGGTGAATAATTTTAAAATAGGTTCGTTTTTTAGGTACAAAGATATCCTCCCTTCTAACATGCGATCGTCCCTAGTTTATAAATTTAGTTGTGCACGATGTGCATCTGCGTACGTTAGAATGACGTCACGAAACCTTTACTCTAGGGTCGCTGAGCATAGATGTAGGAGTTAGAGGACTGGGCAGTTACTATCGCGCCCTCCTCATTCGGCTGTGCGCACTCACGCCGAACATTCCAGTGTCCGACACTGACATTAAGGTTTTAGCTTCTTAAGGTTTAGCATCCGATCGGCGGTTCATTACTCATTATCATCCGATTCATTAAGGTTTAGCAGCCGACCGGCGTATTTTGGAATCCTTTAAACTAGGCCTTAAAGCGAGGCCTAGTTTAAACGCAGCCTTTAGTTCTTATCCACTAGAAATTGTCAGTAGATAGGTAGTTACTTTATTAACCTGACTTTTGGCTGTAAATTTAGGTGTTTAACTTCAAATTTTTCTTTCGAATCCAAATTTTGTTAACTTATTATTGTATTTGTATTCTAGTTTTATCAAACTGACGATGGAGCTGGACTTCGAAACGTTTTCAACAGAACTATGATAAATTTTTGTGGAGTTTTCTTCGCTTTTAAATTTCTGCAATTCAAGAAATCTAGTGATATTAATTAAGAAAATTAATCATAATTAACAGAGAAATTTGGGGATTAATCCATAAAAATGTCCGATGATATTTCAAGAAATAAGTGGTCAATATATATTCGGACAATTCGAAAATAGTTTTAAGCAAATTGTCTACCTTGAGCAACAATTATTACTTTAAAATAAAATGCTTTGTGCAAGATTTTGTTGTGTTCTGACATATTGAATGAGCTTTGGTTTATTGATTCGTTAGGATGAATTTCGATTACTCTTCGTTTGAAGGCAGCAGTGCTTGCATATTTTTCAGGATTCCTACCATATTTCCAACGAGGTTTATGTCAGGTGATTAAGTAAGCTTTCAACATAAAAAATTATTCATCAGGTTCTACGTCTGATTTTATAATGCAAAAACCATTGGTCAACGACCTACCATCATAGTCGTTTCTTGTATAAGAGAGAGGAAGCAAGATTTGCCTCAAAACACTAAAATATGCAGAAGGCTCTGATGAGCTTATTTGAGCAAACATCAACATGAGCCGCGGAGTTCCAGTGAAGTTTGAAAGTTCAGGAAACATTTTGGTTCACAGGGAACGGCAAAATCCCGTTAAAATTATAGCGAATTGTTGATGACGTTCCAAGTAAATTCTGTCTAGGAACTCACTGTTCTCGTACAAGAAAAATTTATCTTTCAAAATATAATTGATACACTGTGACAAATATTTGGAATTCACAGAAGTTGAAAGCATATTTACTAAACACTAAAATATAAGTAAAGTAGCTTCATTGATGCACTATATATAGTTTCCGATTGTTAATACAAATTTCCTTCAGAGACGAGTACGTGACCATTCATCTTGAGAACATCATACCAGGGATTTATCCTTTTGCCTTCAACCTGCAGAAATCTATTAATTTCGACGTGCCTTTCGACTACACATCCATCATGCTTTACAGCGGTGGCGTAAGTTTAAGTAAAGTGTGTGTTAGTGTGTGTGTGAAACTGAAAATGAAATGGAATTGTATTATTTTATATTAAAAAATATGAGCTTAAATCGACGAAATCACAATTTTAACATCTTGTTCGCTTCCCTCATTTAACATTAAAAATGTTCAACGTCCCTGTCAAGTGAGACAGATGTGCTAACATGAACGTCTCCTATCGTTACGAAGTTGCAGTTAACTGTTGATATATTCAGTAATTTATGGTAACATTTTCCTTAGAATATTAAGAAATATAAAATCATTGATCTTCAGAAGAATAAGGGGATAAATATTACCCAGGCAATTTTTCGCAAAATTTACTTCTTATCCGTCATTGCTGATTTTGGCACGCAAATATTTTGATAACAGATTAGTAACTTATGAATGCTCATATTTGTTTCAAATACTGCTTTATGCACAAGCGGTATGGCATGTTTAATGTCTTTTTAACCACAACTTACCTATCAAATGGGGCGGTGAGTGCAGAGTCTGCGCTATCATTTTGAACAGGAACTACAAATGGGGCGGTGAGTGCAGAGTCTGCGCTATCATTTTGAACCGGGAACTACAAATGGGGCGGTGAGTGCAGAGTCTGCGCTATCATTTTGAACCGGGAACTACAAATGGGGCGGTGAGTGCAGCGACTGCGTTAGCACATAAAAAATAAAGCTATTTATCGGTGGTGATAAACCAACAACATATTGCTATGCTCTCGTGCACAGTCAATTTTGTTGACCTTTCCTGTACCAATTACTCAGTTCAAATAATCATTCGAGAGCATCGAAGATTTAATTCTTCACACAAATTTCATTTGCTCATGATTCGCTGTTAATATATGACAAATATTTTCATATCTGATGTCGATTACTTCATCAAATATTTCGAATTTCAAGCGAATTACAAATAATTTTTCGTCGATAAAGCGTTTTCCCTCTTCTATTAAATTAATCGTCTCAATCTGAGATATTTGCTCAGTAAAATGACACTGCGCTCAGTCATCGAACATTTGGCGATTATTCCCCCATTCACATACTCGTTGAATTATTGCAGAGAAGAACCTGAAGAGCTGCGGCCTGGAGACAGACCCGTGTCAGAACCAGGGCTACATGGGCCCCGCCTGCAAGTGTCTCTGTCCCCCTGGCACCAGCGGCGACAACTGCGGCACTCTGGAGATGTCATATGAAGGTCCGTTGTCATTACAATTAATCGTTATTATCGCCATTGATGATAAATGTCAAGAGTATATTAATAATAAATTAGTAAGTCAGGTTATGGGTATAAGCAATGTTTTCCCATCATTAATAGTACCGTTTAATATATTCGATTTTTTCATACGTTCTTCAATAAATATTGGTTTGACGGTATTCCCACTGTATGGTTGTTTTTGAACAATTTTAGTAGTGTTATGCGGCCATTTGTTTTTCATCCGCGTGTGTTTTTGCGCTTAATTGACGTTTGATTATTTACATTTTGATTACAAATAGTATATGAGGTGCGTGCAAAAGGAAATCTTTGTTTTATGCAAGAAATATAGAAATCTTATCTCCTACTAATTCAATATTTCGTTTTCAGATGCCATGCTGAAATTACTTAGGCCGTATTCAAGAAAAATCACAACGAATAATACTGTGGTGACGAGCCCTGGCTACCCTAACGCATCAAACCCAGGTATTCAAGTTGAAGTTAATTTTTTTTATAATATTAACGTGGTTTTTATAAGTTATTTTAAAGCTGCTATAAGTTCTAATAATTATTTTTAACGCAGTCGTTGAAATAAGCCAGAGCAACCGACACTTGTATGTTTGTGGCCATCAACCTAACCCTGTTAACCGACTCAGCTAGCAGTCACTCGGGAAGATACATTTACTTTCTCATCATTCGCATTTTTTTAAAGTTCATTAAAAGCCAATATTATGCGAAATCAGATTTAGATAAGAAGCTGTTAAGATGCCAAGAATTGTGAACTCCAATGCGCTAAGTGTATTCGTTTTATTGCTATTCGTTCGTTATAAGGAAAATGCTTGGTTCTGTTATAAGTTGTCAGGTTTGAAAAACGGTTTACCGTAACTTCCTTTCAAAACAAATGCGCAAATTATTATGAGTCAGGAAAGAGAAAAGGAAAAATTGCTTCTCTAAGTTTTTATGATCATTCTTTCTATTTGATCGTTATTTTTATTTTAATTTTCATGAAAACTAATCCTCTTGCGTCGCGTGTTGATGACGATGATTATGAACGATGAGTCTGGATGATGCTACGAGGTGATGAAGAGAGAAAACTGCTCTAGACTCAGATAATTAAAAAATATTTTTTGCGGTTGTAAAATTAGACTTCAGTCTGGATTGTTGGTTAATGCGTTGCGTTTGTACCTCCCAGTGCGTCTATTCAGTCCGTCTCTGAGGTGTTCCTAGATGCGATAATTGCTAGAGCCTAGAGCTGACGTCTATAGAGCAGTTTGACCCGTCTTAAAAGTGGTGAGAACGAGCTGATGATTAGTTTTAGAAGGCTGTGGGTGTCGACCTAATGCAAATATTTTGGACCTGGAAAGTGTGTTCAAAAAGCCTGGTCGAAAGCCGGTTTGTGTTTGAAGAGCCTGGTTGAAAGGTCCAGTACATACGTTGCTATTGTTTTTCAAATTTTGGTAATTTGGTCGTAGAACTGTTTTGATATGGAGTTCGTGAAGTTCTTGAACTTGAAGAACTCTTTAACACGGGCTTCAACCCAGTGCTGCATCTACGTCAGCGTATAACATATAACATGGTTACCAACCCTACCAGGAGCAGTAGAACACACGACGCAAAAAGAATTCAAAATAACAGAAAGCTGAAAGAAAAGTGAATTTCCCCTACAGAGCTACTGTAGATCATTACCTGAATCTAACCCAGTTGTTTGTGAATATCTCTGCACTATTGTGCTTCTATACTGTTTGGAATTGCATGAGTTATACGATCTTAGCCAGTCAATTCGGAAGACATGGAGGTAGTCAGTATGGATTGATTTTTACCTCTAGAGTGGAGAAGGTAGTTTGCCAGCCAGTGTGTGAGTTAGCAGTCAAATATTGTACAATGTAAAGTTTTCTGCAGACACTATGATTTACAGCATGGGCAAGTGGTGAGGTCTGGCCTCAAATTGGCCAGACAGAGAGTCTGAGAGAAGAGAATTGAAAAAAAAACAGTATAGAAGATGAAGATAGATGCTTTACGCATAATTTGATTGCCTGGCTTCATGGGGTTAGGTTCCGGTTGGGTGGGGGAGGGAACCCATTAGGGTTTTTTTTTCTATGAGGGAGTGAGGGGTAAATTTGTGGTTCGGTATTTACAGTTCTAGTTTCAAACAACTACAACTAGAACAACTCGCATTAATCTAATCACTTCCATATTTGGAATATCAGTTTAATTGTGATTTTATTGCAGCGCAGGCATTTGACATCGTGTTTGAAGCTGGGAAGTGTCAGCGAGCTGTGCTGACGTTTAAAGAATTCCGCATTGCTTATCGTCAACCCAATGGAATTTGCTACTCAGACATGCTGGCAATAAGGACTCAAGTTGACGATGCAAAACCGAGGTGCGTTTCTCGTTTAAACTCACCGTAATTTAGTCGGTCATTCCTAAGCAATGCATGCCTGAATTATCACGTCCTTATAATCTTTCCTTCCATGCCATTAAATACACGCAGCTTTTAGAGTTCAGCGTTATGCAAATAGGGAATTTCAATGATATCCTATAAATTTCCCGACGTTCCAGTCGTTGTTTGATTGATTCACTGACTATTTATAGAATTTGTCTTGTTGTTTTAAGGACGTTCTGCTACGATGAAATCAAGCCCGGTCAAGTTTTCAAAGGCGAGGAGAACCTCTTGATCATCTCGTACTACAGCCAGGACTACAGGGGCAAGAACGTCGGACGTCGCGGGTGGGAAGCCGTCTTCACCACTGAACCCATCTCCGGATGGTGGGTATAGTGGGATTATGGTGCATTGTTTACCAGTGGGTATGAAAGGGACGTGATTGTGTATGAAAAGTAGATATAAGTGATGAATTGGCTTAGGATGCCGGGTGATCTTCGTATGATTAATAGCAGATTATAGTGCGGAATAATTGACGAGTCTCGGCAGAAAGTGCATGATTGAGAATGCATTTAAGCAAGCATCGTGGAAACGGTGCTTCTAGACCCAGAGATAAATGTGGAATCTTGATGCTTTTCAGACAAATGTGAATGAAGTATGAACTATCTGGATGAATTGAAATGTGAACTTGAGGATTAAATGGACAAGTCTCGTAAGGGGACAATTCAGGCTCTCTAATTCAGTGGCTCGCTGAAATTTCCACCATATTAACCAATTCAACATGTTCAAATAAGCACTTTAACGCAGTCAAAAACGCAAAAAATGTACCATTACTTGCAAAAACTATTAAATTACTACCATTATAGTTCATCTACCTTCTGTTTTAGAAACACTACCTTCAACATCAATCTATAATACTCATGTTATAGGCTACCTGCATCTGCTTTATTGGTCCATAAGTGATATTATGAAATATCTGCCGTACTTACAGGAATGCGTCTGCACAAATACTGGCTCAGAAGTTATCATACTCTCAACATTCCAACATTTTTAAAAACGTGAATGTGGTCAATATATTTCAGTTAAAACGCATAAAAGTGACATTGATGAGTAGCGAATCTAAGGATTTATTCTCTCAAGCGTTTTCGGTGAAATTCTTCAATAAATCTACACTAGTCAAGTGAGTCAGAGACAATACACAGGTCCTGCCATATAGCAGATTAATGCTGTGAACTGCATGAAAGAGTAATCTTCATTCCTTATGCTCTATTAATAAATCAAAGCATAATATTCAAATGAAAAGCCTGTGATATATCAAAAGATATTACTTTATTTAGCTGCCGGGCGAAAGGTCGTTCAATAAGTGAATCAACATAACTTTGAATCAGGAACCCAACCACGTATTGTACGTGGACCCCAACCACGTATAGTACGTGGACCCCAACCACGTATAGTACGTGGACCCCAACCACGTATAGTACGTGGACCCCAACTGTGTATGCGGTCAATATATTTCACTTCAACACGCATAAGAGCAGAGCTGGGCAGTGCTACTCTGAAATGTAGCGGGCGCTACCGCTACCGCTACATGCTCTAAAAGTAGCGGGCGCTACCGCTACCGCTACAATTGCTTGAATGTAGCGCCGCTACCGCTACCGCTACATGTAGCGCGCTACTGCCCACCCCTGCATGATAAAAGTGACATTAATGTGTAACAAATCTAAGTACTTCTTTGCTCAGCTGTTTTCGGTGAAATCCTTCAGTAAATCTACAGTCAAGTGAGTCAGAGACAATACACAGGTCCTGCCATAGCAGATTAATGCTGTGAACTGCATGAAAGAGTAATCTTCATTCCTTATGCTCTATTAATAAATCAAAGCATAATATTCAAATGAAAAGCCTGTGATATATCAAAAGATATTGCTTTATTTAGCTGCAGGGCGAAAGATCGTTCAATAAATGAATCAACATAACTTTGAATCAGGAACCAGCAGTAGAGAGTCGCCATAGTGATCGAGCAACAGCCAACAGGTAGTGAATAGAAAAGCAAGTTTGTGCCCTCCACACCGTAATTACTATTCAATCGTAAGGAAATCATCCAAAGGCTTCAATACATTCAATGTTTGTTTAGCAAATAATAGATTTTTAATTTAAAAGAAACGTTAAATTCTATACATATGGATTCTGATGAACACACTCGACAACATGTTAAAATATTTGACAGTCAAACAATAAGAAGTCAAACATTCACTCAGATAAATTCTGGTGCTGGGGTCACCCAGGTTCGGCCAGCCATACTTATAGTACTTGTACCCCAACCACGTATAGTACGTGGACCCCAACCACGTATAGTACGTGGACCCCAACATAGGCTTGCAATAAAAGACACGAAACAACTTTCTTGGATTTGTAGTTCCAAACTCTCCTAAAGAAAAAGAACCAAGAATAAATAGCCTAAGTAACAAATAAATGGACAAAAGACAAAGTATGAACAAACCTCATAATAAACTTATCTAACTTTACAGAATATAACAGAATAAAGAACATCTCGGAATAACCACTAATAATTATTGTAAAACACAGGAACAAACAAATAACCAAGTTAAAACATTCCTTGACACTGTGGGTTCAAATGCGGGACTGACTAGGACGGACTAAAACCTACAAATCTAACTTCTGCATTTCTAAGCTGAAAACTTATATTACAAAAATACAAAATTATAAAAATTATAAAAATACCTAATTCGAATTCCCTCACACTGGTAATGGCAGCTAAGGGTTGCATCTACGGTTGATATTTACTATAATCGTATTCCTGGTTGACTATACTGAAATTAATTCATCTTCAGTGTTATTTTTTTTTCTCTTGCATCAGCTCCTGAGTCTCTACTGTTGCCGGCCTCTTCAACGATCCTAGCAGCCGGTCGTCAGTTCATAAAAAAGGACCGGTCAACCATCGAACTTTCTTCATATTTCAATAAGCTACCATAAATATTAAATTTATTCAAACTCCTGCCCGGTTTGTTGATGGTAGTCTCATTGCTTGCTTAGTTTTAAAAGTCGAATTTAGTAGTGATCTTTTTTTTTTTCAATAACTGTGTCGCCAAATTGCCTTCTTTGGAATTATCGACTACTTTCTTAGCAGGATACATTAGGTGGAATACATTTTAATGGGAGGAAATTTTTCTTCGTGCTTATGCAGTTATTCGTTTTGTTTTTGCTACTCATTGATGGTAATAATAGTCCCTTGATAAAACTGAATTACTGTTCAAGCAGTCATGAATGTTCAAATTTGCTCGATGATGCCTCCAACTAAAGTTCCAACTGTCAATTTTCATGGAAGCTGAAATTCGTCTGCATCCCCTCGATAGCAGAGGAATGGACCTCCGTTGCCTCTCTTCGCTTCGAATTCTAAAAAAGCGAAACTGTTATTCATTGTGATGAATATTCTTATGAATTCCTGGAGGCATCTAAAATAGATCGGTCTGAATTAGTCTTGCAGAAAAATTTTGGAACCTAATTTCTACCAATATAAGTTTTTTATGATGTAGTTATTTTATTGACGTGAAGCTTTACAGTTTAACCAGTGTTAGTTTGATACACTGCAGTGTTCCTGTTTGCGGCGTGAAGTTTTGAGTTTTAAACAGTATTAGTTTGATATTCTGTGCGGTTTAATATGGTTCATTATAGTGGAATGCAGTTTTTCCTGTTAACCAATATAATAGTTTCACTTTATTAAGAGAAATAAGTTTTCAGTTTTAATCCGTGTTCGAACATGAATTTGTAGTACAATCAGTGCAAGGTGAAAATATCGGAGAGATTTTAAGATTTTGGGTTCCAACTCTGGTTAATCGATTTCAAGATTTGGGCATCTCTCCATATTTTTGGACGAAAATCTTGGCATAAACTGCTAGTTTTTATTCACTAAAAATATTGTTAATAGTCAACTTTCCATGTTCCTTTGTCATTTATTTTCGGCACCTAGGCTTTAATCTTTTTTTTATAGATTTAGTTTTTCTCTGTCAACTGAAATTTTATTTTCTAAGCTCTAAATCACAGATACGAGATTGCTCATGTGTTTCTAGAAAAACAATATACATAATCAATTAATCAAAAAACATCGTCAATATAGGAAGTTAGTTGATAGGGATTTTGTACTTTTTATTATTTGAAAAAATATTGGTAGATAATGGAAAATCAACTCGGTTCCATAACTCAGGATTTATTTTTGCAGAGATATTTTGGAGTAATTTAATATTGCATTTCTAAATGATAAGCTGATTCCTCACATTGCTGATAAAATATTAAAATATAATTAAATATTGAAGTGAGAAATATTTCAATGTGTCCCATGTCGTTTGTTTGAAATAAAGCCCTGCGTTTATATCATGGATTTTTATTGAAACATTCCATGATGATTCCATTCTTAACAACTACGGTGTTCAAGATTCCGGAATAAACGTTACTGTATAAGCTGAAAAATATAACGAAAATCCGCACAGTTCCCTCTTTAAAAAATTTCTTCATATTTCTCATTTTATCTGAAGTTGGGAATGATATTTTGGAAAATCCAATGTGGCAAAAATTTTTAATTATATTTTTTTCTCTAAGAAAATCATGAAGATCATAGGACAGAGTATCAGTAGCAGTAAATAGTAACTTGGCTCTCCTACGGTATTTTCTCTTCTGAAGTTATGTAAATCATAAATCCATGTTGTCATAATAAAAAAGGACATTTCTAAATTCACTGGTCAATCAAACTTTAATTTAATTTATGTCTCTGTGTGTAATATGCTTCAAAGTTTTCCGAAAAGTTTTAAAATCTTCTGAAATTTGATTGGGTTTCAAGCGTGAAATTAATACCAGCCAAAAAATCGTACGAAAAATTTTGTTGCTCACGTCACGAATTAAATAATAGTCATCTAACCATCTACGAACCATCATTTACAAATTTTTTTTCATATCAAAAGTACCCTACGTTAGATGAGTTTTTATGGGATATATTCACTTCCCAGAATATCTTTGAAAGCAGAACGAGCGATATTGAATCTAGTTGAAGAAGAACGAACTCTAACGTATATAGAACTAATTATTATAGTTTGATAGTATCGGTAGTTCTGGTTTCTTGCACCCGGTTTTGTGGTTATATGAATGAATTTTTATAAGATGGTTTGGCAGACACCTCTGCTAAAAACTGTTAAAACAGTTGAAGTTTTAATATTTCAGTCGCGAAAAACATAGAGAATCGATTGAAATTATATTTCTATAACTAGAGAGGGATTTAATCACGATATATAAGTAATCAGTTTGAAGCCACAAGTCATGATATTGATTGAATAGTGGATTTGTCGCTATCGACGTTGAAAACATAACGGAAAACATAATAGCTGCAATAAAAAATCACGAAGTTGAAAATTGGATTTCAGGTGAGTTTTCTAGAGAAATTATATTGAACCAGAATGGAGTTGATCAACTTAAATTTATATGGTAAAAAATTTCTACGTAATTTCTACCATTTAAAAGTAAGCCTTAGTAATTTGGTACACTGTTACATATATTTGGGTATAAATAGAACTATCCTTTACGAGCTTTAATTTTCAGCTTAAATTAGAATGCGAATGTCTCATATTTATTAAATAAATTATCCGGCACCATTCTTAGGAATTTTGTACTAGTGCGGGCTTGCATTGTAAAAATTTTCTATGGAGGCATAAGTCCCACGGCTGATAATCCTTTAGGCATTTTGGGCAACTCTTGCAGTGATCAGCGACTCGCAGTAGTTGACTTTAAAGTTATGCCTCTACACTCCAAGCAGCCATGCCGGGAGTTGGGAGTGTTTTCTTCATCGTCTGTGGACTGCAATCATAAGGGGCAAGATTTTTGGCATAATGGCCAGATCTCCGAGCTTCGGTTGGAGGACATACCGCTTTAACAAGCGCACCATGCAGCTTTAGCGTTTAACGAGACGAAAGTCCGTTTAACCATAGAGTGCGTGAGTGCGTGATAGCAGTAATTGAAAAATATTGATTGGAAAAAAAGGAAAGGAAAATTCTATGTTGAGCCAATGACGAAAGTAGGATAAAATTTTTAATGAATTAATAATACGAAATCTCTTGAAAATTCATGAAAAATATAACGCATCACGTATACGTGATGCGTTAGTTATTACGTTTATTTGTACATAGAGTTCTAGGACTGGGTAATGAAATGTTTACGATTTATTTTTACTTTTTGTTCGTGGTCTATAGCGTATTTCAAATATTTAAATTGATTATATGTTCTGTAAAAACAATGTAGGTAATCTGTGCTGATTGTCCTACGTTGAAAATACTTGGGAAATTTCTTTGGGTCCAGTTATATTTGTTGATCGGTCTATAGGAGTAAGGCCAAATTTTGCAAGTTTGGCTAAATTGGTAAGAAAAAATTAGTTGGTTTAAAAGTATGATTTATGTGAGCAGAAAAATAAGTCGGAATCAGTATTTCGAAGTGAAATCAAGGCTTAGGAATTTCTGGCATCCATACAAATACTTGAGCATGAGTGAGACGTGCAATGTTTAGAATAAGCAACAGGAGCGAGGTAGAAAATATTTCAAGTTATCGAGGAAATTTGAATATTCTATCGAACATTATTCTTTTCTTGTTGTTGGAACGTTATATTTTAAGGCATTTCTTCGTAGTCACCAAAAGCTCGTTTGATGAGAGTACTTCAGAGAATAAATCTTCTTACAACTTACTGAAAAGGATGGTTGCTTAATGGTGAGGTTAAATTTCTCGAGTAACTTCTAAACAGAGGAGTACAAACTGTCGCCGGATGCAAGGTAGTATAGCGTGCTGCCAATGCAAGAGATGGAGTAATCGTATTCTCGTTTGGAAAGAAAAAATAAAACTTATTATAACTACCTGAAAGAAAAATCCGAAAAGATTTGGGTTTATTAAAATAAAATAGAGCTAAATTTCGTGAATTTTTAATCATGCAGGATATTTGTGTCGACTCATTCCGCGCAGAAGTCTTATTTCAACTCAACCGGCATCATCCGAGTAGGGAAGTAAAGTTGCGAATCAATCTTCATGGCATCATGAAGATTGATTCGCAACTTTACTTCCCTACTCGGATGTTGCCGGTCATATCTCGAATTTTTTCAGAAAGGAAAATCGGAGGGTTAGTTAAGAACGTGTCCGAAATAATTTATTTTAGTAATTTATTCTTAAAAATATACTGGTATGACGCGCTATATTTCGTTCTGCAGCATTATTTCCCGCCAAGAAAGATGCGAATTCTCAATAATTTTTTCTGGACGGCTCGTCTCGAAATCTTCCAAGATTACCAGTGAAAGTTGGCAATTTCCTCGATTATATCGTTTATCGGAATAAAGCTTCAAGGATCGCCTCGCCCATCGACTAAAGCATGTGATATGTAAGAGGTTGTCGCGTTAGTTAGACCATTGGACTTTAGGTTTTACAGCGCTCTGCCTTCTCTCAGAACCATCCGACTAGATCTACTGCTTGCGTGCTGTGTCTCATAACTGCAGTCACTCACCCTCAGTGGCGACGAGCTCATGCGAAAGCACGAGGCCAGATGTGAAGCTAATTTAATTTCATTGCCCTTACTGAGTCAACCTATAATGAATAGAGTCTTAATAATTCCAGGTCTGGATTTCGTTGTTAACGATCTCACAAATGATCACTGATTACTGGCCATTAAATACATGCGCGCACAATCAACACGTGCTTTTTTGTCTGTTAAGAAGGATATTGGATACACAATTATGGACGATGCTCCACGCTAAAGGTTTCGGGCCCGTCGCCGGCGGTTCCTCTCTAATTGTAATGTTGGCCATGTGACTTTGAGAAATCTTTTTCAAATGCTGTCCTGAACGGCTTTTCTTTAATTCACATTGCTTTATCTCCAATATTTATGTCTACTGGGATAACTATTTTATATAGCTATTCTCAAGTCTCAAAGATTATCTATAGCAAAAGACTCTGAATTAGCCATTTTGAATGATTCAAATCGTGCATAGTTAGTGCGTTTGAAGCTACAGTCGCACTCTAAGTATTTTACAGGATGTCATCTTATTCATTGCTTTGCTACCTATGCTTAAGTGGCAAACTGACCATTTCGATATGTCATCACACCCAAGCATTCCCTATAGAGGGCAGGGTGGCCCAGTGGATACGGTCCAGAGTACCAAGATTGGAGCAGAGAGGTGCGGGTTCGATCCCAGCTCTGTGCGTCAGTTTCTTATCAGAATCGGCGAGAAGGCCGGGCGGTAAAGCAAAACAGAATTAGAGCAGCGAGTTGCGTGTTCGATACCCGCGACAAGCTGTGAATTTTCTGCGCTGTTAAGAATCGGTGACAGGCCTACGGCCTAATGATCGCTGAAACCGCTGTATTATACAGGGTGGGCAGAACCGATTGAGCAGTTTTGAGGCGAAATAAAAGAGTAATGGAGGTGCATAAAGAAGAAAGGTTATTTTCTTCGGGGTTAGCATAACATACCATTTAGAATACATATGTTTTGAAAACAATATCAGGAAGATGGTGTCTGTTAGCTGCAACACACTGCTGGAGTCGTCCTCGGAAGTTTCCTACAGCACGTTCACACATATGGCGAGGTATGGCCATACCCTCTGCAATAATCCGTTCCCTTAGCTGTGGTAGGGTGTGAGGGCGACTTCTGAACACCCTTTCTATTAGATGTCCCCAAAGGAAGAAATCGCAGATGCTCAAATCAGGTGACCTCGCAGGCCACTAAAAATCACCCCTCAGAGATACCAGACGTCTGGGAAACATGCGTCTCAAAACATTGAGTGACATTCGGGCTGTGTGAGCTGTAGCCCCATCCTGCTGGAACCACACGTCTCCCAATGCTTCATTTTCAACAATAGAAATTTAAAAGCGAAGAAAATACCACAAAAATTCAGCATATCTCTATTGAAAACGTTTCGGAAACCAGCTCCATCG